TTGGTTCTGGATTAACCATATTTACTGTTGGTATGTTTTCATTTGGTTCTGGAGTTTCTTTTGGTGTTTCAATATACGTTTTTACAGACTTTGTTAACGGTGCTTTTAATATACTATTTTTCCCTCGTTCTTATGACCTTTTGTGTATAATTTGGACGTGTCAAGTTGTTTATTATTGTTTTTTTTCTCACTTTTTGAAGATGATCTATACTTTGGACGTGTCTACTCAAGTTGTTTATCATTGTTTGTTGTTTTTTTTGCCTTTTTGAAGATGATCTATACTTTAGAGACTGTACTTAATGGTCTGTTCAGATAACTGTATAAAAACCCTCTCTGAATAAACCTATACGGGAGTTGGCTCTGTTTGTGAGCTTATCCTGGATTACCCGTTACTGTGGCATCGCTGAACTTCGAAAAAGGTTGTGTCTGACCTTTGTGTCTGACCCTTTTTTGTGTCTGAGTGTCTGGTGTCTGACCCCCTTTTTGTGTCTGACCCTTTTTCTGTGTCTGACCTTTTTGTGTCTGACCCTTTTTGCCTTTTTGTGTCTGACCCTTTTTGTGTCTGACCCTTTTTGTGTCTGACCCTTTTTGTGTCTGACCCTTTTTGTGTCTGACCCTTTTTGTGTCTTTTTGTGTCTGTGTGACCCTTCTTGTGTCTGACCCTTTTTGTGTCGACCTTTTGTCTGACCTTTGTGTCTGATCTTTTTTGTGTTTTTGTGTCTGACCTTTTTTGTGTCTGACCTTTTTGTGTCTGACCTTTTTGTGTCTGACCTTTTGTGTCTTTTTTGTGTCTGACCCTTTTTGTGTCTGACCCTTTGTTGACCTTTTTGTGTCTGACCCTTTTCTGTGTGTTTTGTGTGTTGACCCTTTTGTGTCTGACCCTTTTTGTGTCTGACCCTTTTTGTCTGATCCTTTTTGTGTCTTGACCCTTTTGTGTCTGACCCTTTTTGTGTCTGATCCTTTTGTGTCTGACCCTTTTTGTTCTACCCTTTTGTGTTGCTTTTTGGTCTGACCCTTTTTGTGTCTGACCCTTTTTGTGTCTGACCCTTTTAGTGTCTGACCCTTTTCGTGTTGATCCTTTTTGGTCTGACCCTTTTTGTGTCTGTCTGTCTGACCCTTTTTGTGTCTGATCCTTTTTGTGTCTGACCCTTTTTGTGTCTGACCCTTTTTGTGTTCTGACCCGTGTCTGACCTTTTCGTGTCTCTTTGTGTCTGATCCTTTTTGTGTCTGACCCTTTTCGTGTCTGACCCTTTTGTGTCTGCCTTTTTGTGTCTGTGTCTGACCTTTTTTGTGTCGACCCTTTTGTCTGGACCCTTTTGTGTCTGATCCTTTTGGTGGACCTTTTTGTGTCTGACCCTTTTGTGTCTGACCCTTTTTGTGTCTGACCCTTTTTGTGTCTGACCCTTTTTGTGTCTGACCCTTTTTTGTGTCTGACCTTTTGTGGTCTGACCCTTTTCGTGTCTGATCTTTTGTGTTCCTTTTTGTGTCTGACCCTTTTTGTGTGACCCTGACCCTTTTTGTGTCTGACCTGATTTTGTGTCTGACCCTTTTTGTGTCTGATCCTCTTTTGTGTCTTGTTGTGTCTGACCCTTTTTGTGTCTGACCCTTTTTGTGTCTGACCCTTTTTGTGTCTGACCTTTTTTGTGTCTGACCCTTTTTGTGTCTGACCCTTTTTGTGTCTGACCCTTTTTGTCTGACTTTTGTGTCTGACCCTCTACCCTTTGTGTCTGACCTTTTTGGTCTGCCCTTTTTGTGTCTGACCCTTTTTGTGTCTGACCTTTTTTGTGTCTGACCCTTTTTGTGTCTGACCCTTTTTGTGTCTGACCCTTTTTGTGTCTGACCTTTTTTGTGTCTGACCCTTTTTGTGTCTGCCCTTTTTGTGTCTGACCCTTTTTGTGTCTGACCCTTTTGTGTCTGACCTTTTGTGTCTGACCTTTTTGGTTAACCCTTTTGACCCTTTTGTGTCTGACCCTTGTGTCTGGGTGGTCTGACCCTTTGTGTCTGACCCTTTTTGTGTCTGACCCTTTTTGTGTCTGACCTTTTTTACATGCTAGTAAGGCTATTGATGGACGTGTTAATATTGCAATTAAATTTTACAACCATGACGATTTATTTTGCATTGGCCAGCACCAGCCAGGGATGCCCCCTTTTTTAATGTTCACCTGTCCCTTTAGGACGTGGGGACATATGAACTTATATTTCATATTTACATAATGTCACGTGTTTTAAAATTGCCTACCAATGTTTTTTTCTTTTCTTTTTTCCTTTTTTTTCTTTTTTTTGGTCTACAAGAAGTCAAAGAACACACGCATAACCAGACCATTTCCTTATAAGGTTTTGTACCTGGTTATGGACACTACATCCGTTCATGAGGGAAATGAACAAACCGCCCCCCTCCCTCCCTCCCTCCCTCCCTCCTTTCTTTAAGCCCTAGCCCCCATCCACCACTCGGTCGGGTGATTCTTCGGCTTCCCCTCGACAGCGAAACCGGCACTAATTTCACCCTCAATCAATCACTGGCATCAACGGAACTGTCACCTACGACTCATTCCGTTGCTGTTTCCACGGGCCATTAGAATAAACTGAATAAATAACAATATTCTCTGTCAATAAAGCGTTATGGTGTGCTGTTCTCGCTGCATTGTATACAATTATATATGCATATTATGTATGTACATATATATATATATATATATATATATATATATATATATACATATACATATATATATATATATATATTATATATATATTTATATTATATATATAATTATATATATATATATGTGTTGTGTGTGTGTGTGGTGTGTGTGTGTGTTGTGTGTGTGTGTGTGTGTGTTGTTGTGTGTGTGTGTATGTGTGTGTGTGTGTGTGTGTGTGTGTGTGTGTATGTTGTTTGTGCGTATGTATGTGATAATATATATATATTATATATATATATATATGTGGTATATATATTATATAATATATATATATATATATATATATATATATATAATAATATATATATATATATATAATATAGATAGAGAGAGAGAGAGAGAGAGAGAGGAAGAGAGAGGAGAGAGAGAGAGGGGAGACGAGAGAGGATTGAGAAAGAGAGAGGGAGGAGAGAGGACGAACGAGAGAGAGAGAGAGGAGAGGGGAGAGGAGAGAGACGGACAAACGAGAAGGGAGAAGAGTGCGAGATTGATTGATCCCCTCTTACTACATATGTTGGGCGCTGAGAGAGGAGAGGTATCGCGATCGACGGTCACTAATATATACATCCACCACAATATTACTCTTTACA